AAAAAAAAAAAAAAAGTTTTGATTCGGTATTATCTCTTTTTTCAAGTTTGCCTTTTAAGACTCAAATATAAATATAATAAATAAGTTGAATTAAAACCCCAATTTTAAAGTATGCAACCGTGTTTAAACGGAGAATTGTGAGGGGCGCGTATGCTCTTTCTCACTCCTAACCGAACCTCCGAATATCGATCTCTGCGCAGATCCATTTTAGGTGACTTGTCCCACCTTATAATTTGAACAAGTGACGACTCCCCCTTTTCTTTTATGTTTTTCACACTTAATAATGATAAAAATAAATTTTCATTTATTTTAAAGTGGTCGTCTAACACATAGCAATCTTAAAAATCTCAAAAGAGAAACAAGAATCCATTTCCTTACGTTAAATCAAAAAAATCAAATATATATAATGAAGCAACAACCAGTTCACTGAAATTCATTTTACACTAGAACTCAATAATCTGCCAACCATACCAAATCACATAAAAAGAATAAAATATGAAATCAAAGTTATGAACATTCAAATATCAAACAATAGATAAAAACCCAAGGAAAAACAAAACCCAATTTGAGGAAATCGAATTTCTTGATCTTTTATTGTTGATGGAACCTCAATCTTGATCTCCAATAATACCCAAAAGAGGGCTGCCACCAGCCTCTCCAAACTCTCTTAATTCTGAATTTGGATGGGTATTTATAGGATTTTAGAAACCCTAATTGAAATAGAAGTAAGACTTGGAACAGAAATAGGAAACTGAATTTTGAATACTGATCACGTGGTGCTGACACTTCAAATTACGTGTTGACACAAAATACGAAACAGAATCTGATTCTGGACGTTTAACGCATGGTGTCGACACCCCGATCATGTGTCGACACTACACCCGTGTCGGGTTTCTGGTCTTCTTTTGCAATTTCTTCAATGGTAAAATAGCAGATTTAGTTCCTGACTTTTGGATTCTGCACAAGTTGATCCTCAAGTCTTTAATCTCTTCAATTTACTTCTAAAAGTATGATTTTTTCTAATTAAATTCTTTCTTACACAAAGAATGAAAACCATCTAAAATCAAACAAAATCCCATAAAATTCATCTAAATATCAATAATATCAAAGTAAAAATTCCCTATTAATATGTATATAAATTTAGCTCATCAGTAGCAGCTCTCATTACTACAAGAAATGAGCAGCAGAAGATAACTCCATCAGATAATGCAAATATTTCATACCGAGAGGGACTAAAAAAGTAATATGCTCTAACCTCTATAGATGCTTTGATCTAGTTGGATGGATAGAAACAGATAATGAGAAGACATGGATGCACTCACTCTAGCGGACCAACATGTAGAAAATACAGTTTAAAAGAAGGAAAAATGTGAAGACGTAGATATAAATAAAACCTGAGGAAATTACGTAATCAATAAATAAAAGTATATTCTCACATAAAAAAGACATATATAATAAGTTGTCTTCTTAAAAGCTGATTTAGACACTCGGTAACAGAAGATGGAACTCTGAGAATGAACTTCTCCTCCATGCCTACAAAACAATGTCAAATTAAAATTTGTGAAACTAGAAAGCAAATCAAGTTACACTTACTAGCCTCAACCATGAATCTCAACACTAATGAAAAGCTTAACGCATACAAAAGGAAAATCAAATACCGATAATCT